GACGGAATATAGGGATTTGGTAGGTTTCCATTCTAAAGGCTTTTTAATAAATATGGCAACATTTTGTGACGTTTCATTGTTGCTGACGCGTAGTGAAGTGTTTTGAGAGTCATGTGAAGGCAACAGAACTTACGTAACGCTTACGGTTTTTTTTTTTGTAGTTTTTCATTTCTGGATGCGTCCTTAATGTGTCGGAATATACCACGTTTACCCTAGGTACTTGTTTAGGCTATTAACTTGGAGTTTTCTCTTTGACGTGTGGCTGAACTAAGGCAAATATTACTGCGTTCAGCTAAGGTTGAGGATGTCATTTTATTGAGATGATTACCTGCCATTTCTAACTCATGGCGGCACATGGCCCTTGGGCCTTGCCCCATGGTAATAATGGTATTGATACCTACTTGGTAGGCTAACTGGTGATGGTGCCAATCCATCTTGCCATAATGCCCATAAAAACTCTTATGTATGGCCTTTTAAACATTCTTTAAATTGAGGCCATTAGTCAGCCAAAATGAACTTAATTTTATTTAGTTAAGCTGCATTAATTAAATTGCTGATTCAGTAATTGCAAATGGTAATACTAATAATGGTTATTGGTATGATATGGATACCATCAATTAGCATCAAATGGGATAATGAGGGATGTGCAGAGACGAGTAATGAGGGACAATCCTACAACATTTCATAGAAATGTTGCAGCAGCTGAACTAATTTAAATATTGCAAAACTAAAAATAGTAATGTAAATTTCAATATTTTTCCTATCTATGTAGCATAAAACAAGTTGAGAAATTGTATATTTACTACCTCTAAAAAATCCCTGAAAAAAGTGAAAAGTGAGATTTTGGAAAAGTATCTGCTAAGGTCGGTAGCAAAAAAATATTTGCCATATTAAAAAGATTCACTTCCATAAAAGTTACACACTGACACAGGTGTTGGCTTAAAAACGTGATTGACAGAATGCGTAGCTCATTCCAAAAATATGGCAGCCATTTCCACAAGACAAGACTGGGTAATAAGGCCTAAGGGACACCTGTAAAAACATTTACCATAGAACCTTGGTTAGCAAAGGCTCCAGTTAACAAAAAATCAATTAACAACTAAGAAAAATCATGATTACATTTACCTTGCTCAGCAAAAAAATTTACTTAACCCTTTCACAGGTAAGTTACCATATATGATCACTTGAAATTGCGTCACAAAAAGCCTCACCACGGCTTCCTGTTTGTTTTTGAGGCATCCTTATAATGCCTCAGTCAATCACTATTATCTGACCATCGTTCTATCTATAGCATCACCAGCTGCAAAGTCCACAAATTGAAATATGAGCATTTAAATGAAGGTTTTGACTCGGACAATGGAATTGATGCTCTTTCCGCATTTTCTTCATAAGGTGGAAGTATCAATATATATATTTATTTGTTTTGGCATTTTGATTAAATTTAATTAAATTAAATTTTTATGTTTCTAATTTTTCATTTGCATAAACTGAATTTTGATTATAAAGAAAAATTTTGTGTACTGATCGCATTTATTGAATTCTTCAAGTGCGATTTAAACCTTCAATAGGCAAAATTTGCAAAAATTCATAGAAATAAATATATTGTTTTACAGACACCTAGTGTCTGCAACACGCCCCTATATTACAGACTCCTAGTGTCTGCAACACGCCCCTATATTACAGACTGCTAGTGTCTGCAATACGCCCCTATATTACAGACACCTAGTGTCTGCAATGCGCCCCTATATTACAGACACCTAGTGACTGCAATACGCCCCTATATCACAGACTGGTAGTGTCTGCAATACGCCCCTATATTACAGACACCTAGTGTCTGCAATACGCCCCCATATTACAGACTGCCAGTGTCTGAAATATGCCACTGCTAGTGTCTGCAACATATCCTTTTTTTACAGACACCTAGAGTCTGCAACACGCCCCTATATTACAGACTGCTAGTGTCTGCAATACGCCCCTATATTACAGACACCTAGTGACTGCAATACGCCCCTATATCACAGACTGGTAGTGTCTGCAATACGCCCCTATATTACAGACTGCCAGTGTCTGCAATACGCCCCTATATTACAGACTGCTAGTGTCTGCAATACGCCCCCATATTACAGACTGCTAGTGTCTGCAACACGCCCCAATATTACAGACTGCTAGTGTCTGCAATACGCCCCTATATTACAGACTGCTAGTGTCTGCAATACGCCCCTATATTACAGACTGCTAGTTTTACAGACTGCTACAGCGTGTATGACCACAACCGTGACGGGGGCGTGTCGCGAGAAGAGATGATGCAGCTGCTGAGGCCACACGTAGTGACGCTGCCGCCCGGCGAAGAGAGGGATGAAGTTGCTAAAGATTTGCTGGGTTCGTTGCTATGCAGACGAATAGAGCCTCCATATATTATTTCTCTAACTTAATTAGTAATATTATGACTTCCAAATAAATTAACTACATTATGAATCTGACTTAATTAATAATAGTAATATTTCAAATTTAATTATACATCTACATTAATTATGATGACTAACTATATTATTCTTAAGTATGATTATATTAATTATTAACTATAATTATTATAATTTTTAATTATATTATGACTCTGACTTAAGTAATGCTATTATTACTTCTACGTGAAGTTTTCAAGACATTGATATATCGTTTCCAAGTCCACTTCTTACTAAACTTGTGTGAACCCGGGAAAAAATACCGTTCTGACTGATAGCAGGCCTGTAAAAGTCTATTACAGTTCAGTTTATATAAAAGTTATATACAAATAACTTGATAGACTTGGCGGTTAAGAAATTGGATGAAGACCACGACGGCCGTGTGAGTCGTGAAGACTACACGGCTGCCGTCACACGGGAGCCCCTCTTGCTCGAGGCCTTAGGGGCTTGTCTTCCAGAAACCAGGGTAAGGATAAGTTTAATAAACACCAAGCATTATAAGTTTTATATACAAATATCAACTACGTGTGTGAATTTTTTGCTGATTTTTTAGAACTTCAGCAATAATCAGTTTAATTTCAATTAATAAATAATGTTATCACCAGTTAAATTGATGTGGTAAAAAATCTGTATCCACACCGAATTCTGTCAGCGCCGATATACGGCGCCTATGCACTGAGGAGAAACGACATTATTAAACAGATACTTTAAAGTTCAATAATGCCTGTAGTCCACCAACACTATAGAATTAATTGCAAAGTAATATTTAAATAGGGTAATAATTATATCTGTTATAATTAAATTAATATCGCTTGCACTGCAGCAGGATGACATACATCGCTTGTAATTTCGATTTCAATGAATGAAAGGTAATAACTTTATTTCTCTGCCTGCGGGAGCTCTTATAAACGCGTAGAACATTGATGGACTGTACATGCAAAGTAATCAAGTTTTCTTTAATTTGAATGTGAATAACCCATCTACAAAAATTAATTTGTTCTTTTATTCCCTAGGCTCGGGATGAATTTCTCGCAACGTTTATGGAAAAATACGGAAGAAAACTACAGCAACCGATTTAATTCCGATTAAACTCTCCTTGTCATCTTCTGATCACCATCCTTTGATACGGCCTTCAGGTAGCGAGGCATGGCTGCACTCGTCTATCGGTCATAATCTTTAGCACTAACTGCCTGAACCAATGCTTCACACAAAATTGTTTGGTCTATCATTGGGTTACCCAGTGGTTACAGTTCAGAGTACCGAGATTGGAGGCTAAAAAATTTATTGGCATCCAGTAACTCATTGTATGGAAAAGGTGCGAAAATCCTGCAAGAAGTGTGACTTCAAACTATGACGTTCTACTGCCCGTTTGGGTTAATTCATTCTATGCATCACAAGAATTCTGATTCAGTAATGCATGGTCATCCCAAAATAAAAAAAAATTCTACATGGCAGTGCAAAACTTGCCTTCTTGTTAACATTTTAGGTTTGGAGTTCTCATACTTTATTGTAACTACCGCAGTTTAAGAATTAAGAGATGAAATAACATTCAAATTTACATACTATTATCTCATTTACCAGTGTAGTTAAAGCGAACAGAATGTGCGAAGATGTCGCATAGAAGACAACTCGGCCTGTAACATGTTTACAGAAGTTTTTACAGTAAATTTTTCAAATTTACTTTAAAATTATACGTTAACGCGTGCATAAAAGAGAAACGAGTCTGCCGAAGTGGATGAAATTATTATTAGTGTTCAATCGTACTATACTGTAAATAAAACCTAGCTGATAAACTGTAAGAAATCTATCTTACAGCAGCATTGGAAGAGTGTCGCCGCTATGTGCAACACCCACACGATTCCCACGAGTTTGCCTCGTATCAATAATTAACTGACGGCTCTTGATCGGCTGGGGCACCAAAATCAGTAAGCACGGAACTTGCAATTTCATCCTTATCCCAATACAAAGTAAGGCACCTTGATCCCTGCCACCCAATCGTTGCAACCGAACTTTATGGATTCCTCCAAGCCATGAAATACTTATCGGTAAATAACACAGTCACCCGTTATCTGCACGGCCAGCCTATCATCTCTACAACTCCTGCAACCATTCTCCACCAGCCATACTCACCCTGTGCTCTATATTCACACACACATACACATTCTTTAGCAACCAACAGGAGCAGTACATTTTTAGTGGATCCCAATTCACTCAGGCCTGCATGAAATGAGGCAACTGACAGAATCGCTAAGCAATAGCAACGCCTGTTGACAGCTGCATTACTTTTTTATTCCTATGAAATGAACTCTATTGTATATCGTAGTGCCTGGAAATTTTGGCAAGCGAAGTGTACGTTAATCCTCAGCCAGTTTGTTTGTCCGGAGAATGATCAATCCATCCGTTCTTCCACGGGCTCTTCGCACGAGGCAGCCTCGCTGATCCGAGACCCTCTTCACCCGTTTTCAGCTCGGCACAGTGGTCCTCTTCCAAATTAGTCAAGCCTCATACATACTCTGCGTTTGTGTCAAGTTCCAGAAATAGTACGATATTATCTCATTTCTTGCACCACGAATAATGAAGTCCGTGTAGCGGATCTTCCTGACACCTCGTCATCGCCACGTGCTCCTGACACCTCGTCATCGCCATATGCGCCTGACACCTCGTCATCACCACGTGCCCTTGTCTCCTAGTTCGTCCAGTTGCCACCATTATCGAGCAGGTCGCGTAAGCTACGAATAAACTGGCAATTGTCAATTTACTGTCATTAACCAGCCAATTTCAGCAAGCCGCCCTAGTTAATTTCAACCTGTTATTATTTGCATAGCTCTTGTTACCCTGGCCTTGAAAATCCCTGAAAAAGAGTCTAACGATTTAAAATTAATGTTGTCGGGTGCTTGCCTCTACATCCGCTTTAAACTGCGCCGTCAGTAAACTACCTGGGGATTCCGTTACTGTATCGCTACACAGGAGGTACTGCTAGCTACCCTACCTAGCCTCAGACCTGTAGAAAACTATTTCAGTACAACTCGCCACTTCAATAGTCGAGCACAAAAAAATAACAGCTCCGGAGTGTATCGCACGAGGTGCAGCACTCCGTCGACCCAATGAAGAAAAAGAACAATTTAGTGTCTCCGCAGCGTTGCTTGTAACGTAGTGACTAGCAGCGTTGCCAGATGGTATATTTCTATACCAGATTTCACAAATCTGGTATTTTCAGAAGGTGTCTGGTATGAATATTTTAGATCTGGTATATATGCCTAAATCTGGTATTTTTCTGGTATTTTCTGACTTACTACAAATTTACTGCATTAAAGTTCCACTTCTGAAGTTTGAACTTCCTCCAGCGTAGGCGTGGATTATATAGATTGCCTTCAGAGTGGCGCGATTAGAGCTTTCCCGCCATTTTTGGAACCGCAAGTTTACCGCTTGATGAAATAACCCTAATCTAATTGTTAACATTTAACTAAAGTGCTTAATGCAATATGAACACGAGAGTGATGATCCTTGATTGATTACTGATCAGTGATGATCTGGCCTAGGACGAGTGAGGTTGTCGAACCGATCTCTGCGACGCAAGCTCCACCATTTTTGTTTGGTGGTTTGATCGAATTATAGAGTGCCACTGAATTTGGGGGTGCTATACAATATTTCACTGATCTTGAAAATCATCATCCATTCATAGAACTGGCTGCCTACTGCACCACGTGTCTACTTTGACCAGGTCTCCAATGCATTCGTGGAGTGAATGTTTTCACAAGTCATCTATGTGAAAAACAAGTAACGAAATAAAATTTCAACTAAGGTACTGCAGTCCCTTATTCGGACCAAAAGCTATCTGCTCAGCCGTAACAAGTGATCAAACCCGAAATGTTAGATTAATGCAATATGCAAGCATGTATGAAAATGGAAGATGACCTGTAAGCATGTATGAAAATGGAAGATGACCTGTTTCCGGAGCTTGCTCATGTTGAGCGAAGGGGAAGAAGTGCCACACTGATAAATGCACAGTGCATAAAATACTTTTTAGCGCATTTTCTCATTTACGATAAAAATGCACTATTGTCCTCGCCATGTCCGTCCGTCTATCCGTCCGTGACCACGTTCCCGTCGACGAGACAATGCACTCTCTGTCAGTCACTGCAGTGAGTACTGAGTTATATATATTTTTTCTTTTTCTAACTAACGTTTCTGACGAATAGTTTCATTAAATTTGGAGGTATTAGTCAGTTTTCGTACAATAGAATTTCTGGTATATTTCTGGTATTTTGAGCTAGGCAATCTGGTATTCTCGCAGAGAAAAAAACTGGCAACACTGGTGACTAGCGACTTCCAGTTTTGTAATTGTATCAGTACCAGTTTGGCCGGCCGGCGTTGCACAAAATATTCATGTTATTTTACCTCTGCAGCTGGCCCCCAAACGTTGCTACTGCCTACTGGTAAGCACCAAAGTAAAGTATTGAGATTTTAAAATTAGTGTTCCCGTCGTGTCGTTTGAAATATTATTTTCTTAGCCATAAATAAGACTTGAAGTTGATGTAGGGATGAAATAGCATGGATATGCAGCTGAGCAGCAGCTCTATCGCCTCTATGCTATAGTCATTACTCATTAGTCATACTATACTAGTTAAGTATGCTAGTATAGTGAGTATAGTATAGACAGTAGTAGTTTACCAGGAATTTAAAAGTAAAGAAAATAGCCAAAAAGTTCACCATTTCTTATAGGTAACTTATAAGAGAAAATGTTTCGGAGTCCAGCTCCATCGTCAGTTCAAAACCTAGAACACCGGAACAAACAATTAGTAGCCTAAAATTACATTCAAACAATTCACCTAATGATCTAAACTTGAGGACATTAGAACTAAAATCAAAGATAACAGGAATAAAAATGAGATAACAGACATCATAAGTCATAACACATAGGTAACATGTAGAGTTACTACTTACTAGTTAGTAGTTACTACCATAGTGGCAAAGCAGAGAGTTTTTTAGATTCTCCCTCAAGTTCATTTTTGAGTCCTATAAGTAGACCAGCAAAGTATCATGGATACCAGCATTATCATTCATAAGAAACTGGTTTAAATCTTGAATAAATGAGGAAATTAAAAATAAACTGATTCTAAAAAATCTTTGGTTTGCCACTATTGACTATGGTTACTACCAGCCTCAGGTAGGGTAAACGCGGTATATTCCGACACTTTAAGGACGCATCGAGAAATGAAAAACTCTAAAGAAAAAACCGTATGCGTTACGTAAGTTCTGTTGCNAGTAATTAATCTAAACTATGATTTATTTCTCCAAAAATATGATGTTTGTCACTAAAATATTTTTTTCTTTCAGCTATGTTTTTTATGATCTTTTTTGTTGTAGTGAATTCATTTGACACAATTAAAATGGTGCTTAATTACAAGCTGTCCTGTAAGCTTACAGATAAAGAAGAAATGCTATACGGCTGCTAATAAGTAATATGAAGCTTTCAGTGGACAAGGTTGTTGTCACTGCTTGATGACGTGTCCATGGACCATGGATATGGTAATATCATATCAATAATATGGTAATATATGGATAATGTAGTGTATATCAATAAAGAAAAAACAAGTAAAAATGACCAAAAATGTCATTTATTCTACATCTACAACTTCTACAAAGGAAACAGAGGACTTCAGAGTACTGTTAGTAATGGATGAGTTATGAGAACACTCTGCATGCATCAAACGTTTTAAAATTAAGTTTTCAAGTGTCCCTTATCACCCCATTCCCAGGGGAAATTCAGGAGGCTTTTATTTTGCATCTGGCTTCTTAAGAATAGCATATAGACATTTTTTGAATATGCCAAATGATAGGCCTTGCAAAGACCTTTCAAATGAGCCTAAATTTGTTTATGAAATGTTTCATGGTAAGAAGTTATTAACAAAAATTCTCAAAACCATCATGTATTACTGGTACCCTGTTTGATGATAGCTTTGTTTTTGAAAAGGTCAAGCTTGCTTTTGATTATAAAACTTGGCTTATAAAAAATGTTTAAAATTATCCGTTTGTGTGATAGTTAAAATAGCAAATGGAATTTTTTTAGGAATGCCATACAATAGCCCTCACATAGACCTTTAAAATGGGCCCAAAGTCATTTATGAAATGTTCCCTGATAAGAAGTTTTCAACAAAAAATAAAAAAAAATTCCTTCATTACCCTGTTTGATGGTTCCATCAAATGTGGCAATATGGGACAATTTTGAGTGTTTTTTGTTAATAACTTCTTATCATGAAATGATTCATAAACGAGTTAGGGCTCATTTTAAAAATATTCCTGAGGGCTATCGTTATGGCATTTCCAAAAAAATCCATGTGCTATTCACAAGGTGCTAAACACAGAAGAATAGTGTCCCAGATTACCCCTAGGAATAGGGTATTCGGAACACTTGAAATAAAACTTGAGTTTAGAATGTTTGAAGCATGCATAGTGTACCGTAAAATGGGGTAACTTAGACCGGCGGGGTAACTTAGACCACTTTTCGTTTTTTTTACAAAAACCCCCACAACTCAGAAACTATTTGACATAGAAAAATTTTGTCAATGGGCATTAAAGNCACAGTGCAGCGCCGGCAGCCAAAACAAAAGCAACACACGAGAGCCTGGAGCCGGGCAAACCTGTGCTCTCCGTACCCGTGCAGCATTTCCTCAACTCTCACGAGGCTCTCCTGGCATACAATAAAGGGTTTACTTCGTTTGTGGGACTTCCTGTGAGTCATAAAATCCTGGGACTTTTCAGCTAAAAAATTCAATAAATTCTTACTTTATAAGAGAAGTTCACTAGCAGCATTTATAACTCAACTTAAATGTGATGTTGATGCCTAAAACATTTTATCCACGCACAAGTGATGCTGTCTCTTATACACATCTAACCTATTAGATATGCAAACTTTTTAAATCTTTCTATTGTGTTACGTAGCCTCAGTATTAGGCCTTTGATGGCCATTGACAAAATTTTTCTATGTCGAATAATTTTTGAGTTTTGGGGGTTTTTGTTAAAAAAACGAAAAGTGGTCAAAGTTACCCCGCTGGTCAAAGTTACCCCATTTTACGGTACAGATCTTAACAGGCCTTAACAGAAGTACTTTTTCAAAATATCACTTTTTAACATTTTTTTGGGGATTTCTTAAGAGCTATTAAATGTATGACTTTTTAACTCCCATTATGCTACATAGATAAGAAAAATGTTGTAGTTCATGCACCTATTTTTAGTTTTGCAATATTTCAATTAGTTTAGCTGCTATAACATTTTCTGCCATGGTGGAGGACTGTCCCAATTTACCTTGCCCATCCCTTATCCCTGTTTGACGGTACATCAATGAAAAATGTACATGGATACAAATGTGTGCTGACATGTACGGTACCGTACTGTAAATAATTTTAAACCAGTCGGTGAGTTAATCATTTATAGATAAATTCAAACTTTTTTATCAATTTTGTTGTGTATACCGTACTGTACATAAAAATTTATAAAGAAAATAGAAGTTAATTCTACTATAATTTCAGAATCTTACAATGGCATTGAGTGGACCCACAACTGATAGCCAGCTGAATGAGTTCATTGAAGGACAGACTCAGAGACAGAAGTATCAGGCAAGTTTCCAGTGAAAAACAATTAAATTAAATAGCAGTATTTACTGATGTGTCCAATGATATGTATTTGCAATTAAATAACAGCATTTACTGTAATTATAAAATAAATTCAATTTATGAATTTTTCTTATGGAACTATCATCAAGATATTCTTGCATGTATATAAGATATATAACTATAACTATATAACAAGATATAACTCTACGCATGTAGAATAACCAGGATTATAATATATATAAAAAGATAAGCATTCCATTAGAACAATGATGAAGGTGCTAATTTACTGAGAAAAGGAAGCTTTGTAATTATATTTAGTTTTCATACTTTTCAAAATTTTTGTTATTTTATAATATGAAACAAATAACCTCAATTATCAGAACTTCAATTATCAGATACCGTAAAATGGGGTAACTTTGACCACTTCTTTTTCAAAATGATGCCATTTTTTAACTAGATAAATTAAACTTAAATTGAAACATGGAAAATACAGGTCTATACTCTAGCTTCACTCACCATAAATTGCTGGCTCCTGCCTCTCATAGTTTTGATGTAATTTCAAAAAAAGTGATGGTCTTTGTTACCCCAGCTCTTGGGGTTACTTAGACCGGGTGGTAAAATCAATTATATTTTTTGGTAAAATAACTCCAAATAACTCCAGGTTTTGGTGCATTGTAGTAGAACTCTTCTAGTTACATATGCAAATGACAAACTTGAGGAAAGTGTCATAGTTTGCAAATGGGGGGCGCCGCCCCATAATGAGGGAAATGTGACTACCTAATGGCAGCCCTGATGGGGTAATATTGACTGGCTTGGAAATTAAGTTAAAATTACCATATATAAGACTCTGTAGAGTCTGAAACATAAAGAAAAAACATAAATAGGCTGTCAAACATAAAATATGTTATATATGGTAATTTTATATTAACTTCCAAGCCGGTCTATGTTACCCCGTCAGGGCTGACATTAGGTGGTCTAAGTTACCCCATTTGGGGGCGGCGCCCCCCATTTGCAAACTATGACACTTTCCTAAAATTTGTCATTTGCATATGTAACTAGAAGAGTTCTACTACAATGCATCAAAACCTGGAGTTATTTAACCAAAAAATAAAAAAATTGGAGGGGGTACTCTGACAGGCTTTAAATAATAGCTTTTTTTCGTGGGTCACATTTTTAATTTTTTAACCTATTAGATATGCAAACTTTTTAAATCTTTCTATTGTGTTACGTAGCCTCAGTATTAGGCCTTTGATGGCCATTGACAAAATTTTTCTATGTCAAATAGTTTTTGAGTTTGGGGGGTTTTTGTTAAAAAAACGAAAAGTGGTCAAAGTTACCCTGGGAGTCAAAGTAACCCCATTTTACGGTACCGGTATATGTCTATATTAATGAATATTTGTTATAAATATCAATGGCTAAAAGGCCATAGTGGAAGACTTACTGAGTGTGAGAGATGTCCTAACTGTCAATCATCCAAACAATTTATGTTAATAGTATATACCCTTTAATAATTACCCATGTTAACCTGATAATTTTTTTAACATTTGCTCCTAGAGTGAATCTGCAATTAATTTAGTGTAGTGTATGGCTTAGTTTTATTTATTTAGTGTAGTGTAATTTTAGTGTATTAATTATTAATAATTAAGTAATTAGTGTAATTTTAGTGTATTAATTATTAGTATGGTAATTAAGTAATTAGTGTAATTTTAGTGTATTAATTTTAATTATTAGTAGTTAAGTAAGTAGCGTAGGTAATTTTAGTGTATTTATTTAGTGTACGTAGTGTAGGGCTTGTATATATACTTGTGTTTATGTTGCTTTATTGTTTTTAGATGTTCTGGTTCATATATATAGCTCTGTATTTTTCAAGATTATAAGGTAGTTGTGGTCTTTTTGCTGTCAAATTTATTTATTTATAAATTTATTTCAAATTTATCTTGACTGGAATGAAGATTGATAATTTTGTAAGCTAATAAGGAATTGTTAGTGTTAATATCATTTAATTATTTATAATTTTTATTCTGAACCAAGCATAGCATTTCCACATTGAAATCTTTCAAAAAAATGCATTTTAAAAATCACTGATGCATGAAAATATCATAATTAATTTTTCCCACACAATCATGACCAACAATAAATTATTGCTGTCTTCATGCTAAGTCTTTTTTATTTTCTCCATTCCAATGATCTAATACTGTTGAGTGATTTGAAATAGATTTTTGTTTTCCCACTGGTTACTTCATTTAAAAAAAAATAGTTTTAAGAATTTGTGATAATAACCCATAACAAGGTTTACTTAATTATTCATCAAAGGCAGACTGTTGAGCTAATGCCATATTTCTACACTTATTAGGACAACTAAGTCTTCGTTTGGCAATTTTGATCCATTAGACTATTAGGTATCACTTTATAATAACATTTGATTTATTATTTCCCATAAAAACTTTCCTTTCTGCCCAGCAGCTGTGACAGACAACAGTTGTAGCAAGAGCAGCAGCAGCAGCAGTGGTGGTGGTGGTGGTGATTTTCACCTCATTCAAAGTTTGGTCTTTTTCTAGAGGTTACATCTTAATCTCAAACTGTATCTCAGAAGTTTTGATTTATTGTTACATACTACAATGGGGGACAAGCGAAAACCTACCAGTCCAGTTGAAAAAGAAGATTTAAAAAAGAACAGAGTTGATGACGAAAGTGTATCAATTTCTACTCTTGGCTCACTTGCTGAAAAACATGTAGTTCCTAATACTTGTGTATCTGATAAACCGGATGTGATTTCTACACAAGTACCAGAAAGATTTGATGCCAACAATCTTCAGACTAAAAATAAAATATTAGTTGAATGCATTCGTCCAATTCAAGAAAATATTCTTATAGCAAATGTTTGTGACCCAATCGAGAAGAATTTATGTAATACTTCAAGGAGAACAGAGGATAACAAAACTGATGAATATGGAGAGACAAGAAACAAAGAAGATGAAGCAGAGCAGAGCAAAGAAGAGTCTCTAGTTGAGGAAAAATCAAGCAAAGTAGTCAATTTAGAAGAAAATATATTAGAAATTGCCCCTGAACATGACGAGACATTAAAGAGACCAAGATCACCTTCACCGCCTTATAATCAACCTCAAAACGATGCTAAGGCTGGCACTATTCCTCCACATGAAGGATCAAGTAAAAAATTCAAACATAATGAAGAAACGTCCATTGATGAGCTAAGAACTGTTGTTGGAAATGAAGCCAGTACTGTGTGTCCTGAAAAAACTGAAGCTCAAAATGTTTTGCCAATAACCAAACCAACTATAATTTTGACAGAGAACAATGAGAAAACCGCAACTGATTCTTCTGTGACGGCAAAAAGGCCTGGTGAATTGGGGCTTGCTCCTGAAGATGACGTAAGCCAGCACAAGACTTCCAGAAACTTGAGTGATTCAGCAGACCATTCAGGGTCTCCAGATAATTCTGATAAGAAGCTTGATGTTATTGAATTTTGTTGCTTAAACTCAGGTGATCAAGCCTTGGAGCTTAATGACAGTGACCAGATATCAGAAAAGTCATCAGTAAAAGAATCTCCTGTTAATATTTTAGATTTAAATGATAGTTCTAACTGTCCAAGAGACAATGCAGCAAGCTGGGAAGAGAGTAGATGCTTGATGGTTGATGATGTGTTTGTTAGAGCTTCTCCAAATGAAGCAGCACTGCAGCCATTCCAGCCACGTAGAAAACGACAAAAACACATAATTAATGCCCTCCAAAAGATAATGGAATTTTATTTCAGTCGTGCCAATTTGTCTCAAGATCGATTCTTGCGGTCTAAGATGTCAGACGATTTTTATGTTGACCTGCCTCTTTTCCTCACTTTTAATAAAGTTAAAAGCTTGACACAGGAGTTGAAATTACTGCAGTATGCTGTAAGGAATTCGCCATTTTTGGGGTTATCTCCAGATGGCCTGCGTGTTAAGAGAACTCTCTATTACCCCAAGAAAGAAAATGAGTTGGACTGCATTGTCTATGTAGATCATCTTGCACGCAATACAACTGTAGATTGGATCTGGGAATATTTTGAGCAATTTGGAGTTGTTGAGTTCGTGAGTCTTCCTCGGTACAAAGACAGTCACAGATGCCGAGGATTTGCATTTATTGAATTTGATACACCCGAATCTGCTGTGAATGCAGTGGAGGCCCACAGCCCTACTGGGAATCCTGACATATCAGCTTGCACCAACTATTCAAATCTTGATTCTTTGGAGCGATCTTTTAATGAAGAAGTCCACAATGTGCCTGATAGCAGTTGCCATGTTGATAATGAAAATTCGCCACTTGGCGATAGATTGCACTTACCTCAGGACTCAAATTCCGTTAGCAATGTCACTACCACCACCGCTGATGCTTCTGCTGTTGTGGCTTCAGAAGCCGAGTGCACTGACGAGTCGCAAAAAGCATCTCCAAAAAACTTGGACCATGGAATACCCCGAAATGAAGATCTTGATGTTGCTACGCCTGCTGAGAGACATCAGCTGCAGAGAAGAAATAGCAAGACTAGCCGCCCTCTTGAAAAGAGGAAACGATCCCTCCTCAAGAGAAAGACCACTGATGCCGACCACACAGATCATCTGCTAGTCTTGCCTAAACGTGTTTGGTTACAACGCCGTGAAGCTTATCTTGCTGAACAAAAGAAGCGTCTTAGTATGTGCAAAAAGATAATGAAAGCTGATCGTTTACAGCAAGAAGCCCTGAAGATAGACTTTGATGTGCCAAAGCCTCGCAAACAAATGCCTGTGAAAAATCCAGGGTGTGTTGTGAGAGTCACCCTAGATCAGCCAATTGAAGAAAAGTCTTCCATAATCTCTGGGGTCAAGGCTTTTTGCGGTTCTGGCGTGGAGTTTGTGGACTGCTCTGTTGGAGAAAAAGTTTTTCACGTTAGATTCGGTTCGCGCGAGGGCGCTCATAGCTTCAGGTATGGCAGTTCTTGGAAGAACAAAAGTACAATTATTGAAGGAGCTGAAGAGGATGTATTCTGGCAACGAGTCCAGAGCTGTTGGATCGCCAGGATTACGGGACCCAGAATACGAAAAAAAGTTCGTGGAAAGCAGAAAGTGATCAGCAGATGGCGTGCACGGCAAGAGGCTTTGGAAGGAATCGGCGGAGAAGACGGCTTGCCTGATCACAATAATGATCAAGAATGATATCTAGGTCCTTGATGATTGCCGCCCCATTAATGATGAGGTATGGAAGTGTAAAAAGAAGAAATTATGAATTGATTTGCAAATAACTTTGCTGAAATGTTGAACTGTAATGTAAAATAATGAATCTGAATCGCCATATGGGAAAAAATATTTATCTATTGATTTCAGATTCTCAGAGACGAGCCAAGAGCTCAATTATACTTTGATTCAGTTAGGATTGTTGAAGTATTCTATGTGTGAATTAAGAGGAAAATCACCACCACCACTGCTGCTTCTCTGCCGCTGATGTTCAGTAGCGGCCAAGACCAACTTGATACTAAAACTGAAACTCCCTCCAATAATTCCCATCAAGTTTACCATTTCAATTATTGCTCACAGAATTTTTTTGTGAATGTTAAGTCGTCATTTATCGTTCGTTTTAACACTTTAATGAAACGTCTTTGTAATCTCACAGGCGCTGGTTCACGAACTCAACAACCGCTGCTGGAAGGTGTGTTCAGGGACGGGAAAGCTATCAACGAAGCTAGACTCGCGTCTTGAGACCTGCCTCAGCAACTGTGTTGACCGCTTTATCGACACCTCCAACTTTATGGCTAACAGAATAACTTCACTTGCTGCTCAGTCCGCCTCCTCTGACGGCCAGAGCTCATGGGATTAGTTGAGTTTTCGTAGAACAACTCTGCATGTAGTGCGAGGATATTGTTAGCTGTGTATAAAAGACTAATGGAATCCTCAATGAGCAGATTGTGAGTTCTATTTCGGTGAAAACAGAGTGAATTATTAGTTTATTTCAAAAAGGTAATTTGATATTGGATTACTAAGAAAAAGAACTGTGAACAATTTTTCAAGCTACTGGTCAGGCTGACTCGTTGAAGAAATTGCTACTTTGTGTATTTTAAATTAGGTTGGACTGTTTTGCACTAGAGAACAAGACGTTCTATAAGATGTTTTCATCACTACGCGGTTTTTTGTACCGCCACCGGCGAAAGTTCATGTGGGCCGGCGTGACAGTTGGAGGTGCCATATTGGCCAGCAAGTTGGCCGAGTGGAGGCTTCGTCAATGGCAGGAAGACGAGACACGTAAGCTTGTCGAACAAAAGCGTCGCAAGCAGCACTACGAGCGCACACTGGATACCACGCGCTTGTCTTTCTACCAATTGCTTCCCAACATAAGAAAAGTTCTTGACTTGGAGCTAGACTCGGATGTGTTCATTCGCGCCATCAAGAGCAATCCAGAGAGAAAGCGCGAGTATTGGGAACAGCTCAAGCTTGTGGGATTTGGTCGGGTTCTCTGCACTGTTGTGTGCTCGGCAATCACTGCCGCCGTGTCCCATGTCCTCTTGACCGTGCTAGCTGCCACCACAATCGATGACGACACTCCTGAAGAAGTCCAGACAAGGTTCCTCGCCACCTTACAAGGGCTTGTTGAGGAAAAGCTTCCAGGCCTTGTTGAGAAAATTATGGCCGTAGCTTCCAAGACAATCTCACCCTTACCCCTTACGCGGAAACTTACCTTAACGCAGCTTGAAGTCGTCCTGCAAGAGATCTCATTGGCCGTCACTAATGACAGGGAAGCTAGTGAAGAGAAATCTGATGGAAAAATACCCTTATCCATATTGCCATGGAGTCGATATCTTCCAGAGCCTGACCCTATTCATCATAATCCCGATTACCAAGAACAGCTCAGGAAAATGTACCTGACAACCGTTGATATCCTGAACACGGATGACTTCAATGACGTCGTCAATGCACTGTCCCAAGTAGGCGTCAGTTTCTTTCTTGATGAAATCGCGGCTTTTTATTTCTCATCGTGTTTTACTGATTCTGAACAACACAAGCCCGCGGTAGCAATTGTTAATCAGAGCGACGAAGAGGCTCTGTCTCCAAAAAAGTCCAAAGATGAATTATCGAACTCGCATGAAAAACCGAAGGAAGATTCGTTGACACTCTCAAGCGAACCTGGTGCTTGCTCTCTCAGTAGCTCCAGTCCAAACCCTGATTTTGTTCGTAATAGAGAAGTGTATACCGACGTACCCAGCTGTGTTGTTGCAAAGCTTGTGCCTGTACTGAGTGGGTTACTCCATGTTGCTCTTCCCAACCCTCCAGCCAACGGCATATCAGCTGACGTCTGCACCCTTTACCACCGACTCGTCGCATGCAGCCAATTAGAAGCTCTTGCTTTTAGCGTCTATGATGCGCTCGTGCTCACGGCTGCGCGTCCTGCCACTTGATCAATGCTATTGTGATATCTATCTTCCTGACATAAATTTCCAACAAATGTTGAGGAATGAACCACAGAGACTTGGCGATATTTCTTGTGGAAACCACTTATTACTGTGGAAACTTTTTTCGTGCAGAATAGCAAATTTTGCGTCCAAAATGAGATATAAGGGAACTCGATGTATTTGAAGATTGCGACTATTACTAAGTTGGATTAAATGGTCTGGGTTCGGTTTGACTTAATTTAACTTACGAATTTTGTGGAAAGTGTTCAGTACTTTTTTTTTCTTATGATGTAAGGGTGATGAGCTTGAATTTCTATAAATATGCATTATTCTGTTATAAATGGGATTTACACAAAGTTTTTGGTGTTAGCCTAATGAAGTGTTGATTTGGTTCCAGGTAACATTATTTCGGTATAAATCGTAGTTACGTGGACGCCTGGGAATTAGCTAGAACACATCTATGAACTTTGATCTCTCTAATTGAATTGAATAAAAAAGCTGGTTTTTAATGTTGAACAAGCTTTCACAAAGGTTAGGTAAGAAACCTAAGGCACTTCTCTTTATGTTATTACCTCTCAGATTGTGGCGGATGGTTGCTTTTCCTGAAGGAAATGCCAAATTACTTCCGGTGCCCCTTCTACTGCCATTGTCTCAATCATTGCCTGTTCGGTGAAATATTCGCACAACTCTCAATAAATTGCGTAATTTGTAAAGTAAATGCAAATGCTATTAAAATCCATCCTTATTTCTCCATACATTCGCTATTGAATTTTCTTATGTTCTCCTGAAATATTGACCTGAAAGTCTGAGCTTTATTTGCGCCACTTCTGTGCACTCCTTAATTTTGTATTTTTACAGTGATAATAATTTTCTCGATAAAAAGCGCCTCACTAAAGTTTTTGAGCAATCTTTTTTCTGTCTGAGGTTTTGTTTACCTGTAAGACGTTGATGATGCTAAATTTTACAGAAGAAAATTTTCGTGTTCTGTTTTGTTTTTTTCGCGGGTTTTTCTTCTGCTTTTACCAGCATTGTTACGGTCACTTGTGGGACAATATAATTTTTCACAAGAGTTCAGTTGTATGGGTAGAGATTTATAAGCTTGTAGCGAATGATGCTCGGCGTTCTCGATTACTTTCAAACTGTTACTTATTTGGGGTCTTCGGATTGTAAAATAAAATGATTCCTCTGTTTAAACATCACGGACTGTTTTTTACCCTCGTTTTGCGTATCACGTATGTATAAATGATCGTTATTGACCATTCACCCATTTATGGGAGTAGATTTCTCTTTCGAGTGGAATAATATTTGAATAGCCTATCGTTCTAATATTTAAAGAGTCGTTCATCTGCCGTCATTCTCTTTCCTCTCAGTATGGCTCAATTAGAGTCTTTAATTAAATGCCCCGTTTTTCGAGTCCTGTCCTGTGCAATGTTGTATTGATTCACGTGGACTTTAGATAAGGTACAATTGAAAAGTGGTGATTTCAAACCTGGCCAAAATCGTTTCAACCACGAAAAAAATCCTAAACCATATATTCATCCGATTAAATTTTGACTGCACCTTGTCGACGTCTTTAATTCCTGGTGCCTCCAATGACGTTTGAAGATCGCACTTGTTCTCCGCCGTCCCCGCAGCACTAAGATCGCATAAACGCGCTGTTAAAACAATCGTAAGGAAAATTTCCTTCCCTCCCTCCCGAAAATTTCCTTCCCTTGCTCTTGAAAACTCGTCATTTCACTCGGATCTCAGTTTCCTGCGTTTCCGCTTTGCTGGAATTCCGCGAAAAAGAGTCGTACTCGACTGATGATGCACGATATCGGTGGGCTATAGACCACACTGCAAGGATCTAAAGCTTTTAATTCGGAGTAGAACAATGCAAAGTTGATAATTTCCAATCCCGGAAAGATGCTTTACTTCTAACTGATATATCGGTTAATGACGAAAATTCATCAATGCATACGAGCAATTTATGACCCTACTTTCAGCAGCACTTAATTGAACGATAGCTACGAAAATTTCGACCGCCAATTCGCTCTGCAGTCAATAGCTCTAAAAAAAATTACTTAAAGGCCCTAAATAATATAGTATACGACAAATTACGGAGCAGGCAATAAGTCCAGCTATCTCAATCAATCGTCAGTTATGGAAAGATCGGGTTCCAAAGGCCGGATCCCTTGTGAATCAAGTCACGAAAAGTTCAAGAATCGGCAACAGGCCATGGACCTATGTCTTCAACGCCGACACTTCTATTCTATTCTAAATATCTCATTTGAATAATAATTTCATTCTCAGAGTCCGGCAGCACTCATTGCACGTCACTCGTGTCTACTTAACTCGAGTCATCGCTAGTAAAGCACAAAGGGAATTGATAATGCGCTTCCTGTGCAGTGAGTGCAACGAGTGACTAAGGCTTACAGTGCCTCACTCAGTACCGATCTGTGGTGATATCTCCGTGCCCAGGCTCTAGGTCTAATATATGGGATCTTCAGCCTCCTTGAAATATTTACCTCCCTAAATAATTGTATATATCATAAATAAATACATAAAGGATCCTCCTCTGTCCATGAATCCTAGTGACGCTCCTGGGAGTGTCGGTGCCTACACACTTTTTAGTCCCCTTTATTCTGGAGAAGTTAGGCACAAGCGATCGTAGTGTTTATCAATAATTTAAACCATTAAATCTTCAAATGCATCTGAGGAAATTAGGGGCCCGTTCCATTGAGTTTATGTTGAAAGAACCGTTATTCTAAAATTTAATATACCATTCGTATTAGGAAATTGAGGCAATTCGACTTTTTTTAACTTCGAGCTTTTCCTCTGCACCGCTTGATGCTGTCGAAATTCAGTTAATTTGTGCTCGATGTGTGGATGATCGGCTATATATTGCTTTGTGTGTAGGACCGACTACTGAGTGAGGAAATGAGATCATGTTTCATCATTCAAGATCATAACCTACATTCAAATCGGTGGAAATATCATCACCTTGAGCCTGGCATTTCCTTATTTCTGCAAAATATTATATTTCAAACATTCGCCATAGTCTCGAGTCTAAATATTAGTGTTGCAAACGAAGCTGTAATTTTCTTACATAACATTCGACGGATCTTTGTGATATGATTTATGCATCAAAAATCTTATAAAATTTGGTTCACCTTCAGCGTGACATGTATGTATATCTAGTATAGAGTTCGTGCAATAGTAACGCCATGGTTAAACACGGAATGGATATTTACCTTCCTTGCTGCGTAATATTCTTCTACTGCACCTTACCGGCCGAAAGCGTGAGTAAAATATCAGTACGAAACGCCTAATTAATAACTTTGTAATATGAACTTGCAGCTCGAAAATGTTCTGTAAATAGAGCATGACTTAATGTAGTAGGTGCATCTTCAACTGACATAAGTTGGCCTCAGCTAAACGTTGCTAATTTACGAAGTTGAGAAAACTCAATACTTGTCGAGAATCCTTATAAGTATTTAAACGGGCCATGAAAATCATTACGAAATAAAACTTGAAGACTACCCTCAAGAATCAAATTTTAGCCGTGAACCGTCTATAAAATGTACAATTGAATAAAAAATTTTGTAAAAAAAATGCTCTAACAACACTACCACAATTCGTTCGCTTATATTAACAGTGACGGTTGGTAGTTTTCATCTCTGATTTAATCGTATTATAATTTTATTAGAGAATTGGAATTTTAGCGATAAATTCTGCTAAAAGTCTAACAGCATGTGTACGGTTGTGCATCACTTCAGATAAAATAAATCGATAATAATTGTTTTTAGATTTTGACTTGATATTTATTCTTAAATTTATGCTTGGCATTTATTCGCAAATATTGGCCTGATAATAATCCTCAAATTCCGTTTCTGTAATAGGTTATTATTTCTGTCAGATTTTGGACCACCGAGTGTCGACCACACGCTCGCCCAAAATAAAGCAGAAGGAAGACCTGAAGCCCGTGGACGTACACGGCTACGACGACCCCAGTACTCCACGGCCGCCTCTTGTGGTGTACGATGGCCGTGATAGACGAGGTACGGCCGCCTCTTGTGGTGTACGATGGCCGTGATAGACGAGGCACGGCCGCCTCTTGTGGTGTACGATGGCCGTGATAGACGAGGTACGGCCGCCTCATATTGTTCTAGTACAGGCGGAGGGAGCGGGGATTGTTGTAAAAATGAGCTATCCTTGAATAAAATGCAATGACTTGATGTGAAATACGAGTATGTGCACTCGACGGCTACTACTTTTGGTCTCTACACTACGGCTGCCACTTTTTTTACGATGATCGAGATAGAAAAGGTGATATTATGATAAATAAAGTAGAATATATCTAAATATTGCTGAATAGAAAATAGCTTCAATGGAAAATTTAGCTTTAGCTATCACCAAATAGGGGATAGGTAGAGAATAGATGTATTTGTATCAGCTGATCGGCAATGACTGACCGAAAATCAAGAAAGGAACGCTATTAATTTTACAATTGCGCAATGATGGTAAAAAATCTCATGTATGTGGGTTCCGCGAATTTGAATTGGGTAATTAAAGGAATCTGCTCCTAATAAGTTGGATATCCACCTTACTCGAGAGTTAAACTATTTACAACTGCGCAGTGAAGGTGAAAAGTAAAGTATGTCGGTTTCGCGAATGTGAATTTGGTAATTAAATGAATCTGATCCAAATGAGTTGGATATGCACCTTACTCGAGAGTTAAACTAATTTTACAACTGCGCAGTGAAGGTGAAAAAGTAAAGTATGTGGGTTTAGTCGGTTCTGAATCAGGTAAATGGCCGATAGCTACCCCAAATGATCTTGGATCCTGTTTCGCGGTGACTAATAATTTTGGGTATGTGTGTTAAGTGGATTTTAAGTTAAGTAATTATCAGATAATAACTCAAATGTGTTAAATCTTCACCAAATGCTGGAAATAAATTAATATTACACTTGCGCAGTGATGTAAAAATGTCAACTTGTCAATTATGTTGGTTTAGTAGTTTCGGAATTAGGTAATTAACCAATAGCTGCGCCATGTATAGAATAGTTCCCAATCTCAAGAAATAAGTAAATTTAATAAATGCTTAATGATGAATTATGTGGAGAGAGACACATTAGTGTGAACGCAACCAATGCGAATAAAATCAGCAAGAAAACACGTACGACAGAACCTATATCATATTGGACATAACCAACTGTGCACGATTTCTTATGAAATAAAACATTAAGTGCACATTTATTGCAACCAAGGACTAGCATGCTATGTTCCTGCCCCTTCAAATCTTTACGGGGTTATGTTAATTTTTTAGACGCAACGAAAGTCCTTCCTCTGAACATTAGTATCAGCCATAATCTTGTGTATTTCCTCGCACTGAAATTTATTCGGGAATTTAAATAAATTTTTTCGGGAATTTTATTCGGGAATTTCGGGAAATTTAAATAAATTGACATTATAGTTGAGCATATTGTTTATTTTAATGTCTGCATAGAATGCAATCCCAATAAATGTGAATGAACTATACGTATGTAAATATATTCAGTGGTCAAACTTTTTATAGACCTGATGCAAACAAAAAAATTTTTTTTCGCGTTGTCATGTAATATAATATGTGAAAATTAACTCGTTTTTTTAATAAACAGGTATGGTGCCGCGAGAGCAGTTGCATCGCGAAAATATTTTTGGTTTAGACGAGCTCTCATCGGGTCGATCTTCAGGTCCCATTGTCGTGTCCGGGTATAGTCAAGTACATGGCAGTCTCCTCAACAGAAACTCTACTTTCTCCAGCGTAAATTCTAATCGAAATATGGGTATGTACCCTCAATTGGGGACTGGACAAGAAGAAGCTGTTGCAAACACAGGCGAGTTCAGTGACACTAATTTACCTCCAACTGATTTGTACGGGAGTTCAAGAGATACGATTATCCATGAGGATAGAAAGTTGAGCAGTGACCATGCAGGTGAGACCCAACCTCAAAGAGCTGGAAGTGGACGGAGTTTTGACGACAGCGGTTCAGGGCCAGAGGAAAATTATGCTCAGAATAACGTCTATGATAATGATAAACCAAGTGAAGTCGATCGTTTATCTAATAATTATGATAGTGATATTGATGAAAGATTTAGTGGAAATAATCGTATCAATAGAAATGAAAATAGAAACTATGGTGCTGACACACGAGATCGACCATACAGCAGCATTTGGGAAAGAAATCAAGGTCAGTATGGACCTAACCCAAACAAAACTGCATACCGAAACTTTACAGGATCCTCAATTGTTCAAAACAGCAATGGGTTTCGAACTTCCGGCTCAAACCAGAACGTCAATGTTAATAGAGGTCGTACTTTCCAATACAACCCGGATGAATCACGACCTTCAATTGTGTATAACCGTGATCGGAACACGTTTGTAGACATCACATCAGAGGGATACGAACCTTACAATGCTAATTCTGAATCAGACTCGAGTATATACCAATCGAATTCTGCATTTGATTCATCGTCGAGTCAAGAAACAGTGGCCCTTGGAGCTGGAGGTAGTCGAAAATCAAATCGAAAGAGAGTTGACGGATCGATTAGTTCAACACCAGGTCAAAGAGAAGGAAGAGGCCATGGTAGAGGCCAGGATGGAACGAATCGTCAAGAAGTTCCGCCACCTCTTGCATGCCCTGCACCCAATGGCCTTTTTCCGCATCCTAAGGTGAGAAGCTAATCTAATCTAACTATACCATAATCAATAATGCCTATCATTAATTACTTGTTTTTGCAGGAATTGACATACAAATAAAGAACTTCTAAATATAATTCTTAAAGGGGTGTCCCAGTGGTTACAGTTCCGCGTACCAGGATTCAAGCAGAGAGGTGCGTGTTCGATCAAAGCTCTGTGCGAGTTCTTGTTAGAATCTGCGATGAGGCCGGGCGGTCAAGCACAGCAAAATTTGAGCAGTGAGTTGTGTGTTCGAGGCCTCAACAAGCTGTGAATGTTCTACGAAGTTAAGAATCGGCGGCAAGTCTAACGGCTTAATCAACGCTGAAACCGCTATTATTACAAGAACGTTTCCAGCGGAACGCAACTCCTTAGTTATTTACAATTTAAAACATAAAATACATTTCCCATTTCGTGTACTAAGACCGGTAAGCTACACATCTCATGTTTAGATTAATTAAACTTTCATTGCGGCGTCTCAAACACTGTTCGTTTTCCTCTCGTACAGGAGTGCAACAAATACCTGCAATGTGCTCATGGTCGATTGTTCGTTCGAGACTGTGGACCTGGCACGGTTTTCAACCCCATTCTCTCGATATGTGATTGGCCTGCCAACGTCGACTGTAGCAACGCAGCAGCGTCTGCAAACAATCCAGCAGTATCTATTGTTAACCCGTCACGAGTGAATTCTGGGGGTAGTGTTTTGTCAAATGCAGTTTCTCCGTCAGCAGGAAATGCGTTTGATTTTTCTCCAAGACTAAATACGCAAACGCAGCGACCTTCGACGACAGAAGCATATTCCTGGTGGCCGTTCGGGAAGAACTATGACCGGGTTCAGCCGCAAGGACGACATGGCAGAGGAGGGAGTACCAGCGTAATTGACTCGATATTTGACAAGGTGAATTTACTGACCTGCTTGAGATTTAGATATATCATCGTCCTAATCTTTATGCAGAGAAGACATTGGAGTGCGTTTAACTTGGAAATCTTGCTGACCTGGTCCAAGCGATGCATTCTAGAGTGTTTCAGAACTTATTTGAAATCTTACTTCCATTAAAATCTACCAATTTTAATGCCGGTTGACATTTGCTTTTTATGCTAACTCCTAACTGTAACCGCTATAACACAGCCTAATATTGGTTACTAACCACCAACGATGGTATTTATGTTTGCAATGATTTTCAGGAGGGTTGGTAATAAGTTTGAAATTGATATGAAAATCAAAATTTAACTGTAATAAGGATTGCTTCATAGTAAAAAAACAATAGTATAGAATTAAAGGTCTATCTATTCGCAACGCCAGAACGAAAGGCGAAATGATTATGAATCACAAGCGGTAGTTGAGTGATGCTAACTAAATCATTATGACACGAATTATTGTGTAAAACGTACAATTTCCAGCTCCACTATTATTTGCACCGCAGTTCGAAGATTTCAAATAAATTTTTGAAAATTGTTGTACAGGCGAGTGATGCCACTTCTTCAGCTGTGAACGTTCTGCTGGAGACGGCAGGGTCTATAGCTAACTCCGTCACTGATGTCGTCGATGAGGTAAATTAAGAACCAAGAGAAAACTCGTAGTTTTAATAATTCTTGGTAATTGAAGGTTCAGCCAGTATTTTTGGTGTTCTTTGTCGTTGTTGTTGTTGTTGGTGCACCTAAATAATTGTTAAACTAGATTGCATTGAACACGTTATGGAATTGCCACTATGACCCTAACATTTTATTCATCGCGTTTTTGGCAGACGTAGCCTTAACAAATCCCGTAAAACTACCGGTTTTGTGGCAGAAGTGATGGCTGACTGGGAGGGTATGAAAAATATTCGCGCAATTAGAGATACTGTGCAAATTTTAGTTCTATAATGACTATAAATCACATGCCTCAAAAGGCGTGACCTGTCACCTTAAATAATCGTCGGAATGTTGTTTCTAGCAACCAGGCTTGTATTACAGTAGTAAAGGCCCCTGATTTTTCTGTCGTCTTTTTCGATGCCAAGAATGAGTGTATTGTTCGGTGATACAATATGCCTTGTTAAAATGGGAAGGTAGCGAGTCTTTTATTATCTGGGAGCTATGTTTTATTTTTTAATGCGTTTGCCAATATAATGTTAACATCTTTGTCAATCGTACTAGTGAATTGTCTCGTAAGTTCCCTTTCTCATTTTTTCATTTTATAAAATTTATCCCTTATCGGTATCATGTTCTTCATAGCATTACTATCGTTGCTTTTAATTTTTATTCAATAAACCTCCAGGTGAACTGGGGTGCAGCGAGGGCCACCGACAAAGGCAAGAGGATTCTGAAAAAATTCGGCTTACAATCTCGAACCATTTGCCCAAGACCTAATGGTCAATTTCCTTACGTTAAGGTGCGTGTTTATAGTGATTATTAGACCTGATAATGTTTCTTTCCTCGACTGATCTTTTTTTCTGTACGACTCATTTCTTATGAACGACTCGTGCCGATTTCGCAGTAGGACTTATTTGATTGGTTAACTCATCTCTCTACTTGTCGTATTAGAGCAATAACTTTCTTGTATTGAAGACGATTCATTTCGTGTATTAATTCGTAATAATATTCCTTACAACCGTCCGGTCGGAACCTTGGCAGTTGCACATTCTAAATGACAATGAAATATTTACAATGCATCTAAATTAACACCAGGAAATTGTAGTATGAATTTCTCACTGGTGACCTCAGGACTGTCGCAAGTTCGTGAACTGCTTCAGGAACCGTCCCCACCTGCAGTCTTGCCCCCCAACGCTGCTTTTCAACGGCGCCACTGGGACCTGCGACTGGCCGGGCAGGGTAGTGTGCCCTACAGCCAGGGTCGTCGTGGGTGAGTCCAACCCAAGGGACATTCTTGACTGGAGCTGTGTAACTATGTAGGGAGTTGAGAAATGGGTGACCTAGGTAGTGAGTTGAGTTATGGGATAACAATAGGTCATATAGGCTCTGGATTACCTCTTTAGGAAAGGATTTTGGTATCGCCTAGTTGTTTTTATAGATACTCACGACAAAATGTATTGTATTGACACTTTTTCATTTCAGTTCTTTCTCATGGTACACATCCTACTTTGAACGATCATTTTTACTACGATTACTACGACACACAATGGCATTTGAATCATCAGCCAACTACCGGTGCCAGGGATGATTAAATTTTTATTATTTTTTTACAAAGTATGTAGTAATTCGTATGGAAATGCAAATAACATTGAAAACGGCAGAACTATCCGTGAATAAAGGCTTAATTTCAGTTCTGACTAAACTTCCTCTAACGACATTGGTTGTCCGCCTCAACCGCAGGCGCTACTCCATACGTGGTCATCGCCCCGCCCACCGGCCAGGACGTCCGACTGCGTGGCGGTAGCGTCCCATGGGCAGGCTACGTCCAGGTCTAAATTCTGGCTCATTTACTTCTGATACGAGTTATTGGTTTAATTATTATTTAGTTATTCTTATTTACGTTATTTTACCTGATGCGTCAGGTAAACAACAGTTTAACATAACATAGCGTCTGAACAGTTTTGTGCAGCGTTATATTCTGGTTTATTTACTCCTGATACAAGTAATTGGTTTATTGTTCATTTAGTTATATTTATTTAAGATATTTTACCTGATGCGTCAGGTAAATATAATACGTCTGAAGAATTTTGTGCAGAGTTATATTCTGTCTTATTTACTCCTGATACTAGTTATTGGTTTAATGTTTATTTAGTTATATTTATTTAAGACATTTTACATGATGCGTCAGGTAAACATAATACGTCTGAATAGTTTTGTGAAGCGTTACATTCTGACTCATTTACGGCCTGATACGAGTTATTGGTTTAATATTTATTAAATTTTATTTATTGAACGTTATTTCACATTATATGGCAGGTTGACAAGACTTCTTCGTGCAACGTTGATTTCTGACTGGCTTAACCTGCGCGGTACTTTAAATTTGAATTAAAAAAATGTACCGTTCGTTTAAATTTAGTTTAAAAATGTACCGTTTAGGTCGCATATCGGAAATTAATTATCGAAATTTCAGACTCGAAGTTTGAGGCCAAACTAAAAATGAACATAAACTCGTTTGAAAAAACCTGCCTAAAAGAGCGAACACAATTATGATATTATAATGAAATTTAACAATATGAACAAATAATCCAAATTTTAAACCTGTATTTAGTATAACATCAGCCATGGCAATAATATCACAGAGCAATTAGAGCAACATCTCCTTGACAAGATCATTCACAATCATGGTTGAATTAATGCTAATTAATAAATTCATATTAATAAATATTAATTCAACCATGATTCACAATAATATATTAAGCGCTACATGGTCGAGGTCACGTCAAGGAAATTTCTTAGAAAAATTACATCAAACATCCCATAACTTAGCGATTTAGAACCTCTTATTTATATGTAAAAATATGCATTAAAGCTATTTCTTTAGCAAAAAAGAATGCGAATTTGAACATTGAAGACAAAAATATTTTAATTTTCGTTCACTAAAGTTGCTCAGATTTTGTGCGATTTTTTGAAAATGTTTTTTGAATGTTTGAAAATTAATTTTAATTTTTTGAATGTCATTAAAATATACATCAGGCCTCTAAATGCTCTAATTGTGTGTTGATATTTTGATATTTAAATTCATGGTTGAAGTGAAGCAAATAGCTTTCCCTTTCTAGATCGGCGAAATAAGTACACGTATTGTTATCGGACCGCGGGTTGATTATAACGAAAATATTTTTCTGTTAACGGTGGCTGGCTTTTTTAACTCATTTTATTTTTATTTAGTTACGTAAGCCAGCCAGTGATGGCCAGCCACATGGCTGGGGCCTGGTGGCTGATGAGCCTGATGGCTGGACGCGTGCAGACGGTGACGTCATATGCAAACAACTCGGTTTTCTGAGGTGCGTGATCCTTCATTTTTAATTGTCATTCAAATTCTCTATTATAAGCTTTACTCTTCATATTAATTTTCTATTTTTGGCTTTCATTTTTGTTTTCTAACATATATTTTCCCTTTCAATAGCTAGTTATTCTATAAATCTAATATTATACCCTCATGAACTATTTATATTTGATTTTGAAGAATATTTTAAATAATAAATTATTTTTAAAGTGCAGATTTATTATGCTAAAACTCCCTACAAGGTTCCAATTTCGACCGAACTTACCAGTGATTCCATCTTGGTGGTCTTTTGAATCGTGTGAGCTTTTTATTTTTTCGAGATTGAATAATTTTAAATTTTTGAATCTACTAACATATTTTGATCGACACATTTTCAAACAACAATTCAATGACTAAGTAATTATTTAATTTTGAAATTACTATAGATCGCTTATTATATTATAATATTATATCTATCGGTCTAGTTCGTCTTAATCTAATAGTGCGTTGAATAATAAAGTACATAAAATTAATTGCTTACAATAAATTAATTAATTGACATTTGCTGCAGGTTCCAATCAGTCTGATCAACCATTTAACTCGTACAGGTACAATAGGCATATATCTCGGTATCATTTATAAAGGCTTGTCTTCACTCCAATCAAGAATTTTACGAAGAAATAACTATAAATCTCATCAATTGCAAGTGGTTATCAATAAAATAAAAAAATTTGTAGGTAAAATAACTATATATCTCCACATTTTTTGCCGAGTCATTATCAGTAAAATCAAACATTTTACAAATGAAATAGTTATGAGCCACCGCATTTTTTACAGAGTCATTATCAGTAAAATCAAACATTTTACAAATAAAATAGTCATTGTCCTCCACATTTTTTACTGAGTCATTATCAGTAAAATCAAACATTTTACAAATGAAATAGTTATGACCCTCCACATTTTTTACTGAGTCATTATCAGTAAAATCAAACATTTTACAAATGAAATAGTCATTGTCCTCCATATTTTTTACAGAGTCATCATCAGTAAAATCAAACATTTTACAAATGAAATAGTCATTGTCCTCCATATTTTTTACAGAGTCATCATCAGTAAAATCAAACATTTTACAAATGAAATAGTCATTGTCCTCCATATTTTTTACAGAGTCATCATCAGTAAAATCAAACATTTTACAAATAAAATAGTCATTGTCCTCCATATTTTTTACAGAGTCATTATCAGTAAAATCAAACATTTTTCAAATGAAATAGTTATTGCCCTCCACATTTTTTACAGAGTCATTATCAGTAAAATCAAACATTTTTCAAATGAAATAGTTATGATCCTCCATATTTTTACAGAGGTTCGTCCTCGGTCTCGCAGGGCCGCATGTTCGGGCTTGTGCCAGACATGCCGGTGCTCGTAACGCGTCCTAACTGCACCGGCACTGAGCCATCACTGCACCAGTGCCCCAGAGACCAGCGCAACAACGCCGAAACAAAAGCCTATGATCTTGAGCTAGCCGTTGCGGGTCAGTGTTGAAAAAAAAAATATATATATATATAAAATATATAAAAACATATAAATGTAAAATATATAAAAAATATAAACACAACGCCGAATCAAAAGCCTATGATCTTGAGCTAGTCGTTGCGGGTCAGTGTTGAAAAAAAAAATATATATATATATAATATAAATATAAAATATATTAAAAATATAAAAACAACGCCGAAACAAAAGCCTATGATCTTGAGCTAGCCGTTGCGGGTAAGTGAGAAAAATCTATATGTAAAAGACTGGCTTTGATCTAAATATTAAAATGTTAGTAGTGTTGGGCAGAAGTAGTTCTTTTCTGCAGGATTTGTTGCAGACTAAATCTTAATTCGTGGTGAAAATAGTAACTAAAAATAATATATTAGTTATATCTTCCTAAGAGTGTATTGTTATTTGTATTGAGTCATCGGATATTGTTTAATATAGTAATATTACTATACAATACTATTCGATGGATTTGTACCTGCTAGAAATAGCTAGTTTTATCATAAATGAAAAATATTCCAAGAAAATAACCTTCTTAGAGCAAAAATTATTTATCACGTACACTTNCACAACAACGTTACAAACGTGCACCAACATGTTCTTGTCACAACAACGTTACAAACGTGCACCAACATGTTCTTGTCACAACAACGTTACAAATGTGCACCAACATGTTCTTGTCACAACAACGTTACAAATGTGCACCAACATGTTCTTGTCACAACAACGTTACAAACGTGCACCAACATGTTCTTGACACAACAACGTTACAAATTTGCCCTAACATGTTCTTGTCAGGGGTTCGGTGCACCCCTAACCCCTTCTCCGAGTGTGCCCCCGGGGGGGTGCGGTGGGGGGACAAATGTTATTACATCTCCTCTGCCGTGCACCTCAACACAAGCATCTCTGCACGCGGTCGCCGTACAGGTAAACTTATAAACTTGTGTAAAAATTGTTGTACATGTGTGTAAACATTTTTGTACATGTGTGTAAAAATTGTATTATAATTTAATTCATTAGTAAATTATTATTTTACTTTATTTACTTTATGGACCTTTATTGTGGACCTTTATTTAAAAGTATCTATACGAGAAAGTTATTGAAATGATCTATATAAGAGCATTTTGGACTATCTAATATATTGTATCTATAGGTGAAGACTTCGCAAGGCTCATTCATTACTTTATACATGGAAGATTTAAGTATACATATTTTATGGAATTTTAATGCTCCAAAAATATACTCGGATTTGTTATTGGTATATATATATTCGGATATTTTATATAATCTTCTTGTTACTGAATGTTTCTTCTCTGTTTCGTATTCAATTTCTAATCGTTTACCTTGTCTCTCTTTTCATATTGACCTTTTTTCTTGAAGATTTGTATTGGTATTGCATATTAACACCTATCAATATTGTTAAGGAGAATAATGTCATGATTTTTTAATCTATTGAACCATCATATTTTGTTTGATTTCTTAACAACTCGTGGTAAACTTTAGAAGTTCTAAGTTCGCGAAACTAAGTAAAGCTCTCAATCAAAATATTTCGCGATAATCTTGAGTAGCTACCGAATGGCAGTTACCATTATTAATATTATTGTGATTATATTATGATCATTATTATGAATATTATTGTGATTATTGTTATGATTTTTATTATTATCAGCCACAAAATTAATCATATAGTAATTAAATGGAAGTTGGGGAAATTTGTAGTTTACAAGGTAATTTATAGAATACCCATCAGAATTTCAAAATAGCCAAAAAAGTAACCATTACAATCATGTATAATCATTTCAATAATCATTTTTCTTCAATATAAAAATTTTATTTTACTTTTCGATTGCACTTGTGTTCTAGGATTTTCAACTGACGATGGAGCTGAACTCCGACACGTTTTTCCAAAGAAAGAAACGTTCTGTCAGCAATGTTTCTTATTCAATTTTTTATTTTATTTTTAGAGAACCGAAATTCCGGTTCACGCTCACGCAGAAGCGTGGACAGCGTCGGCGCTGACGCGGTTTTAGGGGCCGGGAAACCGGTTGTTTTGGACCACACGCGCGCCAAAGATTTCTGCGACGAACGCGGCCTCAACCTCGTAACGATCCGATCGCAGGCACGTGAAATATATTATTTTCTTCGGAATATTTTCAATTAGCTGATTTATCACGTGAAATATTTTGCTTCTTTCCGAAATATTTTCAATTAGCTGATTTATTACGTGAAATATTGTCTTACTTCCGAAATATTTGCAATTAGCTGATTTATTACGTGAAATATTTTAAATCTTCCGAAATATCTTCAATTATATGATTTATTACGTAACATATCTTGCTTTTACAGAAATATTTTAAATAAGCTGATTTATTATGTAAATATAAATTAGTTTCTTCCGGAATATTTTCAATTAGCTGATATATTATTAAACGTAAGTTACTTTCTTCCGAAAGATTTTCAATTTGCTGATTTATTATGTAAACTAAGTTAATTTATTCCGAAAGATTTTCAAGTAGCTGATTTATTATGTTAAGATAAGTTAATTTCTACGGAAAATTTTCAATTAGCTGATTTTATGATGGAAAAGACAGCATGATTCCTGGCGGTTAACATGTGTTCATAGGTTAAAAGTGCTTACAAATTAGATGGGTCGAACCATAAATACTTATTAAGATTTAGGTTTTTATCCCGGACATTATCTGCATTTGATATTTACAACTAAGTCTTGAAATTTTTTTAAAGCTAGTTTTTAAAATATGTTTTTCTTTAAATCCCTAATCTTCAAGTTATATAAAAATGATGTAATTCCAGCAAGTTTTTTCTCTCTCGCAAAACAAAAAATATAACTCAGTACTCACTGCAGTGAGTGACAGAGCGCATTTTCTCGTCGACGAAAACTTGAGATCACGGACAGACGGACGGACAGACAGACAGACGGACGGACATGGCGAGCACAATAGTGCATTTTTTCCTTAAATGAGGAAATGCGCTAAAAACTGAATTTATTTACATTTTTTGCTCAGTACGTCAAAATTATTTTAATGTGACCACATTTTAAAATTTTTTGGTTCTAACTTTTTCATAATGAGGATAACTTTGAATCAAATATGCCTCTGGAAATATGCCTTTGCTTCAGTGGAAGTCAGAAAATTTCCATTGTTTAATTTTAAATTGAGAAAGAATTTCGAGCTTCTACTAACCAAAATAATAACTTATCTAATAAATTCTATTGTTCTGTCTGTTGGGTTGTCNATAACTAGTCCTGTTTATTTCGATATAATGTTAGGTCTTGTTTAGGTTTTATGTCTGTCTTTGAATTTTGACTTTTAAAGTGATTTTATTCATTTTTAGTTTAGTCAAACTGATGATGGAGCTGGACTCCGAAACGTTTTCAATATCGATATGGTGAATTTTCTTGGCGTTTTCTTTGCTTTTAAATTCCTTGAAAATTTAGATAAGGATGCAACTTTATTAGGTGTCGGACCCGCTCCTATTTTTATCGCATTTTCTCATTTATGGAAAAAAGGCGCTATTGTGCTCGTCATGTCTGTCCGTCCGTCGTGACCTCAAGTTTTCGTCGACGAGAAAATGCGCTCTCTGTCACTCACTGCAGTGAGTACTGAGTTAAATTATTTAGGAATCGGATCACGTAAATCAGCCGCTCATATCCGCTTCGGCTCAGAGTTTGAAAGGCAGCCTCTATGCAGCTTGAAAGCTCTGTATGAATAGGTTTTGCACACTCTTTTCATACTCTCAGACGACTTTAAAGTCGGAAAGAAGAGTCTGACCAGAAGCTAATTTCAATCTTGTGGCCATGCAGACCCAAAATAACTATACGAGTGTAACAGTTCTTGGCAGATGCCTAGACGATTCCCCCAATTAGTTATGGTAGTTTATATCAAAGTCTACTAATTATTCTCCGATCCTTGTATTAAACAAGGATTTATACAATATTACTCATAATATACAACCCTAATTTGCATTTAGTTATGGTAGTTTATCTAAGTTCACCTGATATTCTGATCCTTGTATTAATCAAGGATTTACACAATATTACACACAATATTCAACCCTAATTTGCATTTAGTTATGGTAGTTTATAGAATATCAGGTGGCTAAATAAGGTAGAAAATCAGGTGGCTAAGGCCTCCTGATATTCTTATCCTTGTATTATTCAAGGATATACACAATATTACACACAATATTCAACCCTAATTTGCCCAGGATGGAACAGCACAGGCAGCACCCCGAGCACTGCAGTGTACAGCGCCCCAGGACTGCATGCTGACTCCCTCAGCACGCTGTGCGTCGTGCTGAGGGAGACCTTCCCTGCGAGTGCTGACACCCACGATAGGGCGCATGCTGACTACTACTGGTGGGAGGTAAGTGTCAGCTACAATAATATCTATCTGAAATAACAATAATAACTAATATTATAACATAGGGTACGAAATAATAATGTTATTATTGAATTTAGAAACGTAACCGTAATTTTAAAAGGCGTTTTACCATTGATAATAAAATATCTAATTAAAAAAATTCCTGCTACTACTGGTGGAGGTAAGTGTCAGTTACAATAATATCTATCTAAAATAACAATAAGGGAGGTAAGTGTCAGTTACAATAATATCTATCTAAAATAACAATAAGGGAGGCAAGTNCCCAAGAACTTTTATTGCCGCAACTTCGACAATGAGGACATGCCGTGGTGCTACGTCGCCTCTGGCGTCTTCGAGTACTGCGATGTAAAAAGGTGCCTAGCAAAGGGAACCTGTATCAAAATGTGGCTATATCGAATGGTGGCTATATCAAAATGTGGCTATATCAAAAGGTGGCTATATCAAAATGTGGCTATATCAAACGGTGCCTATATCAAAAGGTGGCTATATCATAAGGTGCCTACATCAAAAGGTGCCTAACAAAGGGAAGCTGTATCAAAATTTACCTACATCAAAAGGTGCCTATATTGAAAGGTGCCAATATTGAAAGGTGCCAATATTGAAAGGTGCCTATATCATAAGTAGCCCATATCAAAAGTAGCCCATATCAAGAGATGCCTATATCAAAGGTGCCTATCTATACTATAGGTACCAGACCTGGTATCTCTTGCAAAAATTCTGATGCACAATACCCCTAAGCTCAGGGAATTAATGGGTCCTACTGTCCGAAAAAAAAAATAATTTTATTGGTAGCGTCAGATTGACTTTTAAATGATAGCAAGCTTCTGCTTTAAATACTGTCAACAAACCTGGAGATTATAATAATAATATGTCATAAATAAGCTATTAACGCAGTCATTGCAGTATACGTACGTATATAATTGTTGAGAATTTCATCGCACACTTGCCAGGTGTCCAGACCAGGAAGTGTCCCCGGCAGCCATAGGTCCGTGTCCTGCGGGACAGATCACGTGTCCCAGGTCTTCTACGTGTATTTTTGCGGAGTGGCTCTGCGACGGCAGACAGGTGAGGTTTTGTCATGTATTATTGCCTTATGTGATATTACCTGTTGTTATAATATCCATCGTTCAATAACGTGTTCTATTATCTGTTGTTATAATTTCCTTTATTTGATTACATGTTAATATAATCGGCTTCATTTGATTAAAAGTTGTTATGGTATCCTTAGTTTTGTTACGTGTTATGATCTCCTTCAACGAAATATAATTTCTCTTTTGATTAGCCACTAAACCAAGCATGTTAACAAACATACAAATTTAATATATCCCCATGTATCCGCACTTGATACGTAACTCAGTGTATCGTAGCCCCATTTACTTATTCTTATGTATGCACACTGGATGAATTTCGACCAGAACATGTTCTGTTGGATATTCAAACTGTCTGATGTGTAGGATTATGTTTCTTAATTTTTTTTCTCATCAATGAATATTTTTAGCTTTAATTCATATTTTCTGGATCTAGACAGTGATGATATTAAATTTTTCTTCGTATTATTAACTTGCTGTGGTCGTTATTGTGCTTGCTGTGGGTGTTTTGCTAGGTTTATCAATATTTTAGTGATACCCATTGCCAACGTAGGGTTTACCAGTCAGGAATTATTAAAAAATTAACTGCTAACGCCGCAAACAAGTTATGTTCGTAATTTTTCGCTTCGATATTTTTAGTAGATTTGCCAAAGTTTGATTTCCAAAGACAATTTTAGTGATACTCATTGCAAACGTAGGGTTTACCAGCTAGGTATTATTCAAAAATTTACTGCTAACGCCGCAAATGAGTTATGTTCGTAATTTTTTACGTCGATTTTTTAGTAGATTTTTATTTTGATTTCCAAAGACAATTTTTAGTAGATTTTGATTTTTATTTCCAAAGACAATTTTTTGACCGTTACAGGACTGTCCGGGGGGAGCGGATGAGGTCGCCTGCAAAGACTTCACCAGCGAATTTTCGGATCCTCTTGAGAATTCGTAAGTTCAACATAAATTTATTCATATTTTATTTTAACTTTTTCTTTTCTCTTCTATCACTTTATCATTTTTAATGTTCTTTATTCTATCTAAATGTGTCTTTTTTAACATTATTCTGCATATTACATATTATGAATATTTCTATATATTTTAGCAATTAAAAGTGCGTCAATTAAAATTTAAACTTTCATTGCGTAGAAAATTCCTCTAGGCGAACAAGATTTATACCTTAAAAATCCACCCCCACAGTCACAAAATTAGATGGATCATATTGTAAAAAAAACTGACTTACTTTCTACACGTATTACTGATACGCTCAATTGCCGAGCCAAACTAGGTCACGTTGATTCACAAAGGGGCAAAAAGTGCATAGCTTTTTAGACAAAGTATGACACATTTGTGTGGGTGCAGGCGCCTGAAGAGCAGAGAGGTGGAGAAGTGGCTCTTCACGCCCCTCATGACGTGCGCCTCACGCTGCGTCCACGCCAGGAGCATCGTGTGTAAAGCTTTTAATTACTAGTGAGTAACTAGTGAATATAGTGAGTAATGAATGGATGAAGCTTCCAGTTACGAATGAGTAACGAGCGATTATAGTAACGAGTGAATATAGTGAGGGCGGTGTGACCTGCCTAGCGACGAATCGGAGACGGAGGGCGACGAAGGCGGCGCATCTGCGTGACTTAATTGGAGAAAGAAGTCCTAAACTCATCATAAGGTCATAAGTGAGTAATGAGTGAATATAGTGAATACCGAATGGATAAAGCCATCAATTACCGGTGAGTAACGAGTTAAAATTAATACCGCATGAGAAAATTGAGTAATGAATGAATAAAGCGTTCAATGCCATTGAGGCACAAATGAATAATGTGAGTAAAAATCCTTCAGTCACCAGTGAGTACCGAATGTTGAGTTTAGAATGTTTAGTACCGAATGTTGAGTACCGTATGTTGAGTGCCGAATGTTGAGTACAGAATGTTGAGTACAGAATGTTGAGTACCGAATGTTGAGTACCGTATGTTGAGTGCCGAATGTTGAGTACAGAATGTTGAGTACAGAATGTTGAGTACAGAATGTTGAGTACAGAATGTTGAGTACAGAATGTTGAGTACAGAATGTTGAGTACAGAATGNAATGTCGAGTGCCGAATGTCGAGTGCCGAATGTCGAGTGCCGAATGTCGAGTGCCGAATGTCGAGTGCCGAATGTCGAGTGCCGAATGTCGAGTGCCGAATGTCGAGTGCCGAATGTCGATTATTGAGTACCGAATGTTGAGTGCTAAAATTCTAAAGTAAATATATTAAACTCTGTGTTGCGTTTCAGTCCAGAGAACGAGACTTGCATCCTGTGCGAGGGTGTGGCGGGGGAGGCTGGGGGGCTGGTGCAGGAGGCAGGATGGCAGTACTGGGAGCGAACGCAGTACAAGCTCCAGGACTGCTCCAAGCGCTGCAGTGATGGACGCTGCTACACTCAGGCTCAGGTTAGCAGAGCTATTATTATTAATATTTTGTGAATTTTTTTAACTAACGTCTTGCGCGTTGAAGAAATAGGTTTGTTTAGGCCTGTAGCCGATTCTTGTGACTTTTGTAGCAGATCTTTCTGTGTCAACTAGTCACTTTTCGTGACTTGTATATAGATCTAAAAACTGGCACAAATCATTTCATCTGGCGTTGGTTTACATCATCACTGGAGTTTTACTAGTTCCGTAGGGTGCTAGGAATTTCAAGACTAAACATATAATTTTGCATAGCATTGTCCAGTTTATTCTTGAACGCGTTTATACTCTGAGCTTCAAAAATGTCATCAGGGAGGCTGTTGTCGGTGAGTCTTCTCAAATGTCGGTGACTAGAAGCGAGAAGATTTTACTGCAGTAGGACTCAATATAATTGACTTCGTATATGAGCATAATAATAATCTCATTGAGAGGGCGACATCAAATAGATGCCAGGCAGAGAAATGAGTTCTTATCTCTAATGTTTATAGAAACCTGTTTCAACGATATTTCCGATCACGCTATATTGAAATTCCTGTCGATGCTTTAATCTTAAGAAAGAGGATGAGAGTACATGCTTGTTTTTATTTTAATGTAATAATTACTTCTACAAAACTCAACATTTAATACTGCTCCATTCTTTCATTCTCAAAGTGTATTTTTCTAAAATGGAACCTATTACTTAAAACTACTACAGTTCAGTTGGAATTTGCAATTTGTTTTTGATTATCGTCATTCTGTTGAAATTTACGATGAATTTAAATGCTGTCATTCAGCTGCGAATTAAAATATGGACGCGAACACTGTAATTCAGTTGAGTATTTCAGTGTGGATTTAAATACTGTTATTCAGTTAGAAATTACAATGTATATTCAAATAGGAGTGTGATGGCAGTCGTGACTGTAGAGATGGTGAAGACGAACGTCAGTGCCAAGGTGACCGTAACTTCGAAGTACGGCTCGCCAACGGCACCACTGTGCACGAAGGGCGCGTCGAAGTTAAAGGTATGTCATATAATAACAATAATATTAATAATAATATCGGTTATAATAGCAATCAGCGTTGATTAGGCCATTAGATCTGTCGTTGATTCTCAATTTCGCAGAATTTTTAGAATTGGCGTTGAAGTTAAAGGTTGTTGAAACGGGCTTCGAAAATTGGGCATATGCGCAAACTGATTGCCAGGATCATGATAAAAAATTTTTGGATATGGAAAATGTCTGCTGAAAAATATTTCTTTGGAAGAATATTCATTGATAACTATCTATTTGAAATTGTATTTCTCGTTGCTGGAAAATGAAGGAGCCTCATTTTATCGAAATATTTAATCTTGCACCATTTACTTTTAAAATTCTGTTGAATTATTAAATGATCATCAAGATTGGTTTACAGAAAGGTCGAAATTCTCCCAAAGAATTTATGAACAAGTGAATAATTTGTACATGGTTGTAACATTTTTTATTTTATTCCTTTTGTAATCACTTTTCTTATGAACCTTTGTTTAGTACGATATTCTGGTTTTAATCAAAATTGTTCTCGGATCCCAACTAATGAATAAATACACGAAGGAGAGAGAGAGAACGTGATCACGTACACAATATATATGAAATAATACTTGAAGCTTCTAATCATATATTGCAAATAAATAATAGTAAACCTTAACGTCACTTTCTCTATGCGAAGATTCTCAATACATGTCGCAGGCGCTTGGAAAAACTTTTACTACTGGTAAGTGACTACTTAAATCTTATGTATATTCATCAAAACTAAACCTATCAGGGTTTTCCTTTAAACTTCTACCCTAATGCTCCTCCCCACAGTATCGGGCAGGTGGGGTGGCGTGTGTGACGACCTGTGGGACTTGGCAGATGGGGATGTGG